CAGCAGAGAGGCTTCCTGCTTGGCTGTTTGCTGGGTTTAAATTCGGTACAAAAAGGGAGAAATGGATTAAACGCGGCTGTGCTGGTGGAAACGCAGCTCAGCTCCTGCTCTCCTCCAGCTCTGCTCATCTGCCAGGACAGGCCATTAAATCATGGGAAAAGGCCTGATTTTTTGACTCTTTAAAAGTACAAACTACGGAGTAAGAATAGGAAATAATACATAGAGTGATAGAATGCTGGAATGGTTTGGTGGGAAGGGACCTTCTAAAGATCCTCTAATCCATCCTACCATGGGCAGGGACACCTTCTACTACCCCAGGCTGCTCCAAGCCCTGTCCAGCCTGGCCTGGGACATTCCAGGGATCCAGGGGAGCCACAGCTTCTGTGCCAGGGCCTCACTTACACGTAAAAATATACATACTATATTCTGTTCTAACCATTAAATAACCTCACATATAAAACACACATTCCAAACACCCAGGGCTGATGTCATCCCTTAATTGTCCCCTCACCCTCAGCCTGGGTGGAGAACTGGATTATTTATTTCCCTGCCCACAGCGGCCTAGGAGCAATTGCTGAGCAACAATGATCCATCGAGGTCTCAACCCGTGCAAACTGTACCTAAACTTCCACTTTATTGCAGCTTAGTTCACAATCTTCACCTAATATAGGGTTACATCCCAGTGCAGCAGGCGGATAAATCATCCTGGAATATTACTCTGGCTAAGTTTAGCTGGGAGTGGAGCATATGTGCTTCCGAGTCACTGAAGCACAGGCCCATAAAATACACTAATTACTGGAAGTTCTGGTCACTGAGTGATTGATAGCGCTCTGCGAGGCAACTTCCCCGGCTGCAGCTCGTGTGAGGGCCTCCCCCAGCACACTGCAATTATTAATTCATGACCCAGCCCTCAGGCACTGCTCCCTCCACTCCCAGTCCCACCAGCAGCAGGCTGGACATGGTCTGGCCCCACCCTGGTGGGTGATGGAGGTGGGAGAGGAATCAGAGGGAACGGGCTCTGCTGGGAGAAATCACCCCAAACAGCTCCAGGGAATGAAATAATCAAAATATAGGCCAGCTTTTTCTGCCCAAGAAGGAGTTTGTGAAGTGCATCATTCCACATGGAATGGCTGAGGCTCCATAAATATTCCCCAATAAGGAGGACTCGGGCTGCTGAGCGGGTTGGGCACGGGACAGACCCTTGTGCCTGGCTGGGCACGAGGAGTTGCCACCAAGTCACCAAAATCACAGCACTAGGGTCCCTAAAACCTGACAGCAACCAGGTGAGGCTCCTTGCAATAACATCAACAACAAGAAGCTTTTTTTACATCCTTGTTTTCCTTAATCCTGAAGGGAAGGTGTTACCTTTCCCCCACCGGTACACCTCGAGGCTGTTTCTTCCAGACCACTACAAAAATCAGGCTGTACCACCAAGATTTGGGTTTCAGATCCTTCCTTCACCACCTCCAATCACAGAATCCTTTATGCTGGAGAAGACCTTGAAGAGCACCAAGTGCAGCTATTGCCACCTGTCCCTGAGCAGGGCTGGTCCAGGTGAGGGGTGACCTCAGAGAGCACCCCCGGAGCAGTGAAATCCTGCAGAACCTCCCCAGGTCAGCTCACAATCCTGACCTGGAACCACCCTCACTCCCAAGCTGCTGAGATGTAACTGATCCCACATCTCAGACTGCTCAGAAGGAGATTTGAAACCTCCCCTCCTTGACAGAATCTTGACTCCATTTTATGCAGTCAAACACCCTTGAGACTGAAGAGCTTAGAGCACTGAAATCCTGCAGAACCTCCCCCAGGTCAGCTCACAATCCTGGAACCACCCTCACTCTCAAGCTGCTGAGACGTAACTGATCCCACATCTCAGACTGCTCAGAAGGAGATTTGAAACCTCCCCTCCTTGACAGAATCTTGACTCCATTTTATGCAGTCAAACACCCTTGAGACTGAAGAGCTTTTAGAGAAGCACCTCCAAGCACAGCTGCTTTCCTTGGAGCATCCTCTTGCAGCACCTTCCTCCTCCTCCCTGTGGGCTGAGTGAGCTCTTCTGCAGCTCCCTCTGTGCCCCCAGCCCGAGTGGGATGAAGGGTCTGAGCTCCAGCACTCTGACAGTGCCCAGGTGTGCCTGAAGTACCACAGGAAGGCACTTTGGTTGGGTAATTCCTGATTTTTCTATGTCTGGGAATGCACACAACCACTGAAAACGCCTGATGGCTTCTTAAGAGATTGCTAAGAACCCTTGAAAGCTCCTGCAAATACACAGCTCCTGAGAACTCTGGTCACCAAACACTTAAAATCCTCAGTCTGGGAGTTTTCAGAATTAATACTAAAGAACTAATATTAAGAACTAATATATAAAAAAAAATTATTAAAACTGATGCACAAATTCCTTTTCTCTGGGGGAGAAAACAAGGATGATCTCAGTAAAAAAAAATAAATCTAATTTTCAAAGGAGACCTGGAACACAGAGGGCAGTGGAAAGCAGAGACCAGGACGTGACACAGAAGGAGGAGAAAAAGCCAACGACAGGAGCTTCTACCTCCAAAATTTACTTGGTTTTGGGCATTAGCAAATTGCTTTCACTTCCTGAATTTAAATATAACACCAACTCTATATGGAGATAAAATGATAAATATCACAGAATCCCAGGATGAGGCAGCTTGGGAAGGACCTTAAAGTTCATTTCCCAAGGGCAGGGAACCTTCCACCACCCCAGGCTGCTCCAGACCCATCCACACCAGCCTTGCTGCTGCTATTAAACCCCAGCCAGATGGATTTTATCCTCCCCTGGATGTTTGAAAGTTCACTTGTGGATTACAGCTAGGATCAGAGTCATATTGGAGAGTAACAAGAAATATTGGGCAATTTAATTTCTCCTCCCGTGCAGGACACGGCTCTTGGAGAGAGGGAATGGGTTCCAGAGCTCAGCCAGCCCCAGCCCAGCCTGCATGTGTTTTATGGCTGAGTTATAAACCCTGAAAAACAGCTTTTAGAAATGAAAATGCTGACACAGTGGTCAGTGTAGTGACAGCAATGGCACGGGTTTAAATTGAACTTGCTTTGTCAAGCCAAGAGCACTTAAATAAAACACGGGGAAACCTCATGGAAACACACAAACTATTTGTGGTGGAACACTTCTCAACAGTTTTTCTGCGTGAGGGATTAAATTCATTCCCTTCAGAAAAATCCTGAAGGAAGAAAGGCAAATTCAAAAAAATGAAGTAACAAAAAAGATCATAATAACGATTATAATGATTATAGTAATAATGATGATGATATAGTTGCATATCTAATTTCATGATGTTTTAATTTCATTTTAAATTTATATTTTATTTCTGAGGGGATGACTGAGCACCCTCAGACCCTTCTTGCCTCAAAGGGAACATGAACACTCCCCATTTCTCAAAGCATAGGCAGGACTCCCATCCCAAACTTTCCCCTCTCTCCCCCCAACTTTTTTGGGGCAGTTTCCTCAACCTCCCAAATAACTCCCACTTCTCATCACACCCACCTTGGCAGCAAAGAAATTCCAGAGGTTTTAAGGGCTCGGAAGAGCATTACAGAAAATGAGAAGATTTCCTGACAATTTTCCATCCTCACCTGCCAGCACAGCCCTTGCTGCCTCAATCCCAGACATTTCTTTTAAATTAACATGCTGCTAACACCCAGGTGTGGGGCTGGAGCACGACTTCACTGAGTGCAGATGATTTAAAATCCTACAGCAAACAGCAGCTCCCCTTTTTAACAGCAACAAGAGTGTCTCCACTCCCAATCCCCACGTCAATAGGGTGTTACTTTAATGACAGTGACCTTGTGTGGCTCTTGGAGCACCTTTTTCACCTTTTTGGAGGCATTTTTCTAAGGCACTGTCCTTGTTTTCATCATTTAACATCACTCAGAGCACTTCAATCAAGCTGCTGCTGGTGGGAGAGGTCTCAGAGGAGCAGCTGACAAACCAATTAACAAAGCACCCAGACCCAAACTGGTTCCTGCACATCTGGCTCAGGAGAAACCCGTGGGAAGGGAGGGAGAGGGAAGTTGGGAAGGTGTAAAACCAGAGGAGGAAATGCAAATGAAAGGAGTTTCACCAATAAAATTCAGCCTGCACATGGAATTGATGAGCAGCCAGGTTAGCCATTAACAAGCCTAAAACAAACTCCAAATATCTTGTGGTGGATCACTGAGCTGCTGGAGCACAGCTTTTAATTCAGCAAAGGAACTGGGAAATGCTTTATAAATAAAAGTCCTGTGTTTATATCACTCTTTTTATCACCCACACCACCACAAAGTCTTCCTGGAGTACAACCTCAGCCCTTTTTTGGCTAGAATTATTTACAGAATGAATTTGGTCTGTATCTCTCCCAAAATCCTGAGGGAGGGCTCTCCAGCACCACAAACCATTCAAATGTGCAGTGAAAGAAATGAAGGGCCCTCCCTGCCTCCCTTGGGACACATCAAATTGTGTCACCCTGCCACTCAGGGCTGGCTCCAGGGACACTGATTTCCCACATCTGCAAGCACTGATTCAGCACTCACCACCTACATTTTGGTTAAAAGGGTTTTGGCAAGGAATTTACTGGGTGGAAATATAAAAATGGTTCAATTTTGGGCTGCAAAAGGTGAAATGTGCCAAGATGCAGAGGGCCAGCACTGAGACTGCTCAACTTCATCTTCTGCTAAAAATAGTGGTTACAGTTCACTCAAAGGTATGTCCAGCTTCACCTTCATATGAGGAAAAAGAGAGGGGAAAGAAAAAAAAAAACACAGAAAGGAAAAAGGAAAAAGCCTCCACACACCAGGCCCTACTTCCTACCCCAATATGGACTTTCATTTGAGACCTCAAATGAACAAACCCATTCTAAATACAGCCCAAATCAGCAACAGGTAAAAGCACATGAATATGCAGGGAACTTAAAGAATAAACCAAGGTTAAATTGACTATTTTGATGTTATTTTTGATGTAGGAGTTAATCAGAGAGCTCTCTGCATACCTCCATGAAGGAAATCCCCAGGCTCCAAACATCCGAGTGAATCCCGTACTGTTCTCCTGAAATCCTCTCAGGCTGTGGAGAAAAGCAGAGCAACAACTCCTGAGCCTTGCAGGCAGACAGGGATCCTGCTCCAGGGCAAGGGATGGGGAAAATCACACAATCCTGGGATATTCTGAGTTAGGAGGGACCTACAGGGATCAAATTCCAGCTCCTGGCCCAGCACAGCACAGGTATCCCAAGATCCCACCCTGGGAGCATTGTCCAAACACTCTGGAGCTCCCCATTCCCTGAGGAGCCTGGGCAGTGCCCCAGCACCCTCTGGGGGAATAAAGTTTTCCTAAAATCCAGTTCAAGCTGCCCTGGCCCAGCTCCAGCCCTCCCCTGGGCTCTGTCACCACCCCCAGAGCAGAGACTGGAGCTGCCCCATGGGAAGTGGAGACACCAAAAACCACCAAGATGCTTCACAGCTTCCCTGGCAGGGAGCAAATCCAGGAAAATTCAGGAATTCTTCAGGAAAATCTGGGTCCATGCACCTTGCAAGGCTGGCCTTGGATTTGCACTGGGGTTGTTTAATCCAAGGGAAAAGCCAAGGGCTCGTGCATGTGAGCAAAGCACAAGGTCAAGTTGAGAGAATGCAATTTTCCACTTCCCTCCCCAAATCCAGGCACCACAGCAAGGAAAAAATTCCCAGTGTGGAGTCCAGAGGTTGGGGAATAACACAGTTAAAAAGCCAAGTTACTGAAGCCAAAAGAATCACCACACGGTGGCAACTTTATTTTATATACTTCTTAATTTTGGGCTTTTTGACCTGTAGAGGGAAAAAAGAAACCCAACAAAAAACCCCTCCTGTTCCAAACTATTAATAGCAGGTTTAATGCTTCATGAAATTGAGTGCTGTAAAAAATATCTGCTGGTTTTTACTTGAAAGCTACAATTTAAGCATTTCCAAGGTCAAGTACAGCATGAAATGCAACAATAAAAGGCTCCCTGAGACTCCTCTCCCCACTGTGCTGTTAATGCACCTGTCTGGCCCAGCCACCTACAAAGGATTTTCACTCTTTAATAATCCAGAGACCTTTGTTAGAAAACAAACTCCCAAATTAGTGCCACTCCAGTGTGGTTTTGGATGTTTACCCTGTGCTGCTACTCCCAGGTCAGGAGCTTTTATCGCAGCGTGAATGTTAAATAAAATCCACACTGCTGCCCATATTCCCTCTAAAAACAACCTCCCAAAATCCCAAATAAAACCCACAATTTCACCAAATTTCACTTGTGAGTGACCCCAAAATCTTATTTTATTATTTTTGAATTCATTGAGTATAATTAACTTAGGTCAGCACATTTGGAAATATTTGCAACAGCATCGTGTGATTTTTTTAAGCTGATAAATTTTTATACTGACGTATTTTTATAGTGACATGTCTTTATACTTAGACATATCCTCACAAAGGTGCAGATGTGGAGCCAAAAGTAATTTTGTAATGTGACATGGGATGTGCTAACCTGGCCCAAGCAAGGTGCTAACACCCACCCCATTTTTCAGACCCTTCCCGAGCCACCAAATGAGATTTATGATTCACATGGAGCAATATTAAACTGTTTATTCTTAAAGTTCAAGCTCTAAAAAGCAAATCCCAGTGAGGAACTGTGGTTTCACAAAAGGTAAGGGCAAAGAAACCAGCTTTTTAAACAAAAGATGGATTTAAAAGGAGAGAAAAGAAGAGGAAAATGGGAATAATAGATGCATCAAGGTTGCAACACACGGATCACTCTAAATACACAGCCCAAGGTATTTTCTCTTAAAAATTTCTAGAATTGATTATTTTTTCATTCAATTTTTTTTTCTATATAAAATGCTGATGAAATGATTTTAAGAAAATGTGTTTTGGTTGGAAATTTTAATTTCTCAATCAAAAAGCTGTTTTGTTTTTTTCCAAAAGAAACCCCCAAAAATCAAAAAGCCTTTTCTTTTTGTCAAAGACAACCTCAATTTTTTCAAGAGTTTCAAATTCACTGCCAGCCTGCCAAGTGGGTGAAGCAAAGCTTATGACCTTCATTATTTTTTGAGGGCTTGCCTGGAAATTTGATGACAACAAACGACTCAATCAAGTAGCAAAGTGATTTTAACACAGAACATCAGATCGAGCACATTTTGAGCTTAAACTTCTGTTTCACAATGAAGAGATGGAGGCATCACATCCATCCAGAAAAGCAAAAAAAGCAATTTATTTAATGCACACCTGGGAAAGAGAACTGTAATCTTGGTTTGGGCACTAAAAGCATAATACAATTTAATTCTCAGCCCTGCTTAAGACCACTTTGAAGCAACAGCTGAGCTGGAAAAGTTGATTAATTTGAAGCTGTTTCTTTGTCTGGATCTCTGTGTTCCAGCTCTTTTTTTAATCTCTATTTTTTATTTAAAACCCCCCATTTTTCTGCTATTCTGATGCATTTATTTTATGCTATTTCTGAGTGTTCTGATGACACAGGACAGCCCAAGTCTTTCTAGGAGGGTGACTTGAGCCTTTCAGAAGCCACACAATGAGCACACCTCGAGTGGAAAAGCACTTAGCAAATAAATGGGAACCCTGACAAGAAAATCAGAAAAAGAATACCTGAAAGCAATTAAAGGTCATGGATTTCTCCCTCCCCTTCCCTGAGGTTTGAAAAACACGAGCACCAACCACTTGGTGCTGTTTATATTTTTATTTTCAACCAGCAGAGCATTTCTTTTCTCAGAAATATCAGGAGCAGTTTGCTCAAAGGATTTTAATGGCCAAAATAAGAGTTCATCAAGAGCTTTAAAAACTGAGGCAGGGGAGTTCTCAGGTCTGAAATGGAGAATTGAAAAGGATCCAACGGATCTGATGGAAAACCCACTCTGATTTGTGCAGAGAAATCCAACTGTGGTTTGTGCAGAAAAATCTGTGCAGAACAGTTTGTACAGAAAATCTACTCTGATTTGCTCAGGCTGGCACTTGGCAGCTCTGAACCCAAACCCTGCCCCAAATGATGAATCCTTAGCAATGTGCTAAAAAAAATTTTAAAAAAAAAATTTTAAAAAAGGGAATGTATGGGGTTTAATGCACTGGAACAGGACAAAAGTGGTCTTGTTTTAACAAAGACTGACAAAAATTTGCAGAGAAAAGTGGAAGTACTGATGACTTCCTGCATTCTGAACTAAAAATATTGCACTTTGATGCCCTGATGTTATTAATCCCAATGTTTTTAGCTTCAGATTTCCATGGGGTGTTTAGGAATGCCCATCAACCTCTGCTGGAGTTTAGGGAATGCTTCCCTAAACTCCAGCATTCCCAAAACCTGGATGGTTTGGGGTTGTCAGTGATCTGCAGAGAGCCACAAGCTGCGAGTGAAAAACTGTTTTATTTCAATGTTCAACTGGCTGTCTTTGTTCCCAGTTGTCACAAGGAACAAAACCAAGAGAAAATATATTTAAAAAAACCACTTTTCCACTATTCCTCCTCCCTCTCAGCAAGAAGCAGAGTTGTCCCACAGAATGAAGCCAGGGGATGGGAAGAGATGGAGATCTGAGGACTGATTTAGGATATCTCCTGCACTGAACAGAACAAGAGTGAGGACAAATAATTCCACTGAAATGTTATTCCTGCATCAATCCACTTACCGCCATATAAGCATTTGTTCCAACATACGTCTTGGCTATGGAATTCACCAGCTATCAGACAAAACAGTCTGTTAGAACAATATAAAGATAATGCGGAAATAAAATGGGCAATTATTCCTCATTTAACCTACAAGCATCATCCCTATAAATCAACTAAAAATTATGTAAAAAAGGGAAGGGATTTATCCGCCAAGGCGTTAAAAATGATTAAATCTCGCCTGGGTTGGGGAATGAGGATTCCAATTTAAGCAAGCACTGCATTACAGTTTATGGCAGATAACCTTAAACAATTGTGTTAAACAGGATGCTGCTTGTTTTAGTACCCCAAACCAGTCTGATATAAAAAGTGAATTAGGAGGAAGCAGGATTGAGCGCACTCATTTTTCAGTCAGATGTGAATAAAGCCCCAATTCATCCCTTAAACACTGGAGGGACAACAGAGCCTGCCAGCCCATAATACAAGGCTGACCTTCTCTTTGGGCCTCGTGTTTGGCTGAGAGGAAAAGGTGCTGAAATTCAAATCAACAGCACAGCGAGCTCATGGGTCACTAGCAGAGAAGTCCTCCAGGGAGGCCCAAAATGGAAATTAATTAAAATTTGTGCTGCACATTGTCAAAGCCCACCACTATTGTTGCTCCCAATATTAATTTTTATTGTGGGCCAGTTGGGCTCCCCAGACACGTCTCTTGCTCTGCCCTCCCTTTTGTCTGGGCAAAAGGCTCCCAGATCAAAGCTGCATTTCAATGAAGTTTGCTATTCGTAAGTAGTAATTACAATATCAGCAGTTTTTACTGTCATTAAACAATGAACAATCATATTCAGATGGAGGAAAAGTCGCCCAGAGATTAAAAATGAAAAGGGTTGTCCCAGCAGAGAGGGGTTTGCTGTGGGGCTGCCAGGTGATTTGGACACCAGGAGGGGAATGGGGACAGATGCAAAGGGGGAATTTACCTGGGTGCTGACCCCAAAGTCACAGAGCTTCACCTGGCCCCGCGTGTTCACCAACATATTGGAGGGCTTCACATCTGTTGGGGGGAAAAAATGGATTATCCACATCATCCTGGATAATAAATACACCATTTATAGAGAATATCCTCCATTGGAAGGGAGCCACATCCAAATCCAGCTCCTGGCCTTGCACAGGACAAGCCCAAATATCCAGGGAGCACTGGCATGGTGGCTTTTGATAGGAAAGACTACAAATATCTAGTTCAAGTGCAGTGGTTTGTAAGTCAGCAGCACAGAAAAAATTCCATATAGATATATATATAAAATACATCCTTTGCATACAGATGTGAGATGGTATTTACACACATGACTTTATACAATACTAAAAATCCACATTATTAAACCTGCAGGTCACACCAATCTGGAACAGACACCAAGAGCAGGGATGGACAGGAAAACAGCTCACAGGGATTCTGACAAATTGGAAAATCAGCCTGGAAAAAGGATGCAATTACATAGGAATAGATGGAATTACTGCATTTGGACAGGGATTAATCCTGAACTCACAGGGATTTTACCAAATTGCGAAATCAGCCTGAAAAAAAAGGATGGAATTCCAGAAATAAACCATCAATGTCCATTCCAAAACCAGAGCATCAGTGCAAATATCCTGATGCTGACTGCTCCTGCTGCCACAGGAAGTTGATGCACTGCTGTAAAATAAAATCAACTGGGAATCAACTCAACATCCAGCCTGGCTCTAGTGCAGGAAACACTGAACATCTTTGCAGTTCCAGGGATGCCAGTGGGGGAGCAGAACGTGCACGTTATAGCCTGGCTTAAACATGGGAAGATTAGAGCCTGGCTTTGCCTAATCACTGCCTTCTTCTGTCAAAATGGATTAAAGGCAACAGCTTGAATCAGCGCCTCCTCTCAAAGTGAGCACTGGTTGGGGGCAGATGGATGAAACCCAACTAGAAAAGAACCTAATTTTGTTTATCATTAGGTTTGCCTTGCTTTAGCAGCTGTTTGCTGGTACCACAGGAGCTGCCTTAATTTGTCTCTGCGATGTGGAAATGCAGAACCTCAATTAAGAAGCTGATTAAAGCTCGCCTCTATTTGAGCTAAAAATCCAGCTTAAAAGTGGGAGCACCCAATAGTTCCTATAGACCCCAGGTGGATCAGGACTTTGTAAGAGAGGTATCAACACTGCTGGTACTGCAATTCCTGCAAATCCTGTAAATTCCCCCCAAAAAAACCCCAGTCCTGAGCATGCAGAGGCTCAGTTTGTGTTTGCTGATCTCCATCTTTAGGAATTCCACCCACGTGCTGCACTTTTGATGGAGTTTTGCCTCCTCTGGAGCTGAGTGACTTTGCTAAATCCAAGCAGACGTGCTGAGCACACCAGAGGCTCTCTCCTGAATCCTGAACAAGGTGCAGAATAATCCTGTTTCACCTTCTCCCTAAAAAGATGGAGCCACCTCTGAGCTGGGCTTGGAATGAGCCCAGGCACACAGGGAATGCTGATATCCCAGGATGTCCAGCTGCTCCCAATTTTTAGGGGAAAACTGAGTCTAACCAGTTCTGCTTTTCGCTGCAACAAAAAGGATCCTGAAATCCTTCCACAAACAAAGCTGAAAGCACAAGAAAACCCTGAAAGGAAGAAAGCACTGGGAAATTGGCCCCTTAAGGATGGGCAGGGGAGGTTGGGGGCCCTACAGAGCAAGGGGCAGTCACACAAACCCTGCAGGAGCAAATCCAAGCTGTCCTTCCAGCAGAACCAGACCCCACCAAATCAGGGAATTTACTCAAATATTTGCTGTACTTTTCAATGGCTGTGCTCATTTCCTCAAAAAGGAAAGGAAGTGACAGCCCTGCACAAAATATCTGCTGCTGAAAGCAGGGAGACAAGCAGCTCATCAGCAAATCAGCCTCTTGGTCTCATCACCCACTTCAGTTAATGGGTTAAATATTTTTTGGGTTTGGGAAACGAGTGTGCATAAATAATGTTCTGCACCATCTGCTTGTGATTAATATTAGTGTTGAGAAGTGAAAGAATTTAAACAAGAGCCAAAAGGGGTCATTATGCTCCCATTACCAGGGCTTGCTTAATACAAATGATTTCTATGAAGCATCATTATGGAGGATGAACAAGTTCTCCTCGTGATGGAGCTGCCTGAGTAGTTTCACCTCTCTGCAAACAAACAGGACCTCCAAGCTCTTACTCACCAGTAAATAGAACCATCAGAGGTTCAGCTTTTGAACACCAAACATTTCACTCCTTGGCGGCATTGAAAAGCAAACAGATTCATGATTGTGTGATGGGGAAAAAAAAGAAAAAAAAAAAAACAAAGCCCTGAGATGTTTTAAAAGCTGTCTCTTGACTTCTCCTGGCTTTTAAAAACAGCAAACAGCAACAGGCCAGGTTCAAGGAAGGCAGCAGCGTGGTTTGGCAGAGGCCAGGATTAATTTTTTTTTTTTTAAATAAGCCTTAAGTGGTCCATGAGTGGGCAAGCTTTACATACAAACATAAATAAATGTATGGAAACGCAGAATGTGTGTTCAGCTTTATATACAGACATAAATAAATGCATGGAAACACAGAATCCTGGCATGGCTTGGGTGGGAGGGGACCTTAAAGCTCATTCTGTCCCCCCTGCCACGGGCAGGGACAGCTTCTGCTATCCCAGGCTGGCAATTCCCCAAACACCCCTGGATTTGTGTCTGTGCTCCACTGGGTGGCCCTAATGCTGATTATATCCCCCAGAAATAAAACAGGTCTGGGGGGAGGCAAATATGTAGCTCTGGACATCTCTGGTGAAATCCTCAGCAAACAATCAGATGGGTTTTCACCTTTAACAAAAGCTTTGGTCAAATTCTGCCTGCCCAGAGGTGTGGCTTGTTCACCTCAAGCCTTTCAAAAAAGCTTGGATTTAATGATCTTAAAGGCTTTTCCCCCAACCTTAATCTATGATTCTCTAGCTAATGAAAAGCAAATGGAAATTCTAGCTACAGCATTTTGACATAACAATAACAGCAATAACATTATTATTAGTAGTAATAACAGCAATAATAATGGTGGGAAGATGGGAATGCTCTTCTAGTGCCTGTCCCTCTCAGCCAGAACAAAGAGGAGTGGAATATCCTTGGATTTCTGGTGTCCTGGGGGAAAAGGAGATGATCTGAGTGATGCACAGACCTCCTCCTGCCACAGAGCACATCTCCAGATCCTCAATTCTCCCTCATTTCAAACCAGCAACACTTCCAGAACTTCCATTTAAAACTTAACCAGCAACTGAGGTGCCCAAACCATGAAATAAATAAATATTTGTAATATATATAAACAGCCCCAGTACTCAGCCAAGTCACCAATCCAGCTGAGTACAATTAAACACAAGTGGGTAACATTGATTTCCTGCAATTCCTTTAAGAAGCAGGTGTGAACAAAGCAAAACACAGCAGATAAAATGCACACGGTCTATACTTATTCTTGAACTTAACAGATTCTGGTTTGTCTTTAGACAAACTTTGACTTTGTACATGATTAGACTTGTTTAATTGCTAATTCTGTTTTAAATCTAAGTTAATTTCTCATTACCCTTCCATTTCTACTTCTTATCCTCTGGGGAAAAGAGCACACTTATCATTGGGACATTCTCACATCTTCCAAGGAAGTGGTGGAGGTGTTAATCTTATGTTTATGTTTGATGTGGGTGTGATGACTCCAGCTCGGGTTTATTAATATGCACGGCTATCACCTCATTAGTTGTGAGGTTTGTTTTGAAGTGAAGCTGTAATATTTGCTGAGATGTCTGATCTGCAATAAAAGACTTGCTCATTGTTTGTTTCCTTCTCTTTAATTCCCTGCTCCAGCACACAGCTCTGCCCTGGGACTGCTGCAGCCCTTCCTTGGAAATCCCACACTCTCCTGCTCTGCCCTGGGTGACACAGCAAGAAAATCAGGAGCCAAAATTCCTTCTCTTACCTCTGAGCATCAAAACCAGGAGACAGCTGAAGGCCACCACCTGCAGAAATAATCACCTGCCTGCCATTCCATCCCTCTGCCCCTGCTTTGAAGATACAGAAATTCACATTTTCTGTAATCCTAAAAAACAGGTAAAATAACGCAGCTCTGAACCTGGAATGCTCACTGTGCCCTCCATGGTGTTCTGCAATGCTGGGTCAATCCAGCAACAGAGCAAGGCCAGAAAAATCAGAAGAGTGATGAAAAATCAGATTCTGAGCTTTTCTTCAGACCACAGCAAGGACCAAACATCATTCATCAAAATCCCAGAGCTGCTCCTCAATCAAGGCAAGGAAGCCCAGGCAGGAGGGGAGATTTTGTTCTACTGGCACAGCAAAAATCTGAACCCGGTTCTAAATGTACAGCAGCACACCAAGAAAATGTCACAGCATTTATGCTCTCTCCAAATCACAATCAGAAGGTGACCAGAAAAATAAAAAAAAAAATTTGAAATTTCAAATAATTTTTCTTGTTAGCTGTTACAAAATTGTGGCGTGAAGCTTATTGAGAGCCATAACCAGCCAAGGATGTTCCTGCTGCCTTTTCTATTTCTCCTGACAATTCCTGTAGCAGCTCCAGCACCAGACTGTTCCTCCTCTTGCAGGGAAGGGATGGAGCTGATAAATAAATAAACCTCTGCAGCTGGCAGCACTCAGGAGAGTTGTTCAAACCATCCCAGAAATGAAGCCACCTCAGCCACCTGTGTCTGCTCTGGGTGATTTCTGCTCTTTTCATCCAGCCCAGGGTCAAACCCAGCCCTTCAGCCTGGCAGGGAGAGGGTGAGGGGGATCAAAAAGTGCCTGGGGACAGTCAAAGTTGGGCATTAGGGAAGACTTCCTCACAGGAAAAGCTTTTCCAGCCCTGGCACAGAGTTTCCATCCCTGGAGGTGTTTAAAGGCCGTGTGGATGTGGAACCTGGGGGCACAGGGCAGTGTCATTGGCCTGGATGGTCTCAGAGGGCTTTTGCAACAATAATAATCTGTGATTCCAGAAAATCCAGCTCCTAAGTGCATCTCTGCTGGTTCTTCTGGCCAGGACATGCTCCCAGTCAGAGCCATCCCTTGGGGTGGAGCTGTGAGGGACCGAGGAAGGGCCGGAGCCATGAGGGTGTGAGGGGCTGAGGAGCCATGAGGGTGTGAGGCTGTGGCAGGCTGAGGAGCCATGAGGGGGTGAGGCCATGAGGGGCTGAGGAGGAGCTGGAGCCATGAGGGTGTGAGACTGTGAAGGGCTGAGGAGGAGCCATTAAGGGTGTGAGGCCATGAGGGGCTGAGGGGGAGCGATGAGGGTGTGAGGCTGTGAGGAACCAAGGAGGAGCCGTGAGGGTGTGAGACTGTGTGGGGCTGAGGAGGAGCCATGAGGGTGTGAGGCTGTGAGGAACCAAGGAGGAGCCGTGAGGGTGTGAGGCTGTGTGGGGCTGAGGAGGAGCCATGAGGGTGTGAGGCTGTGAGGAACCAAGGAGGAGCCGTGAGGGTGTGAGGCTGTGTGGGGCTGAGGAGGAGCCATGAGGGTGTGAGGCTGTGAGGAACCAAGGAGGAGCCGTGAGGGTGTGAGACTGTGAAGGGCTGAGGAGGAGCCATTAAGGGTGTGAGGCCATGAGGGGCTGAGGAGGAGCTGGAGCCATGAGGGTGTGAGACTGTGAAGGGCTGAGGAGGAGCCATTAAGGGTGTGAGGCCATGAGGGGCTGAGAAGGAGCCATGAGGGTGTGAGGGGCTGAGGAGCCATGAGGGTGTGAGGCTGTGAGAGGCTGAGGAGGAGCCGTGAAGGTGTGAGGCCATGAGGGGCTGAGAAGGAGCCATGAGGGTGTGAGGCTGTGAGGAACCAAGGAGGAGCCATGAGGGTGTGAGGCCGTGAGGGGCTGAGGAGGAGCCATGAGGGTGTGAGGCTGTGAGGGCATGAAGGGCTGAGCCGGTTTGGTTTGTAAAGCACAGCTGAATAATTGAGTTTTCCAATCTTCAAAGAGCCATGGCAAAGAATTCCATGTACAACTGGAGTTTCAGTGCCTTGTTCAAGAGGGTCTGCCCTGAAAATCCTGGCAATTTGTAATTCCCACCTTGGGGCTGCAGTCACTGCTGGGGAGTTGGGATGGTGAGAAATGAGGGAAGGATGGAGGAGAAATGGATAAATTCCACACTGAGGGACTGCCTGGACATCATTTTACAGATCTGAGCCTCCAGCAACACTTGTGACTGTCACATGAGATTTCTGAAGCACCAAACAAAATTCATTGCCTATTTTCTGTTTCCACTACCAATCAAACATCTCATTTCCACGCTGATTTTTTTCCACTGGGCACCTGTTTGCAACCCTAAGCTTCTAAATCCCTGTAAAATTCATTTCTCTCCTCAGTCCTTTTCTTTTCAGGGGAGGAGGGAGGGCAATAAAAGAGCAATAAAAATGTTTTACAAGAAAGTGTGCAAGGTTAATGAGTAAGATTCATTCTGCATTACCCCACCAGACTCCAGGCAGATGTTTGCTTGGTCTTTGGAGAAAGTGATGTTAAAATTTCATTGGAAAACAAAAAACATCTGCTACTCACCTCTGTGTAAAATCTTCAGACTCCATAAATAGGTCAGGCCTTTCACAACCTTTAGGTAGAAGAAAGAAAAAAAATCAGAATTAGGGATTCCTGCTAGGAAAAATTCCACATTTCAGCTGGGGTGGGAGATCAGAGCAGCCAGGTCTAAGAATGAAGGCAGGACCAGGAAAAGGGGAGACCCCACCTCCCTCCCAGGTGAGCCCCTGCTCAAAACCTGCAGCAGGTCCTTTATTAAGGCACAAATTAATAATACCCACATTAATTTATTGCCAGGAGCTGTAAGCTGAACTCAGCTGAGCTCACACTGAATTCCTTCAGGCATCTCAGTGGATCTTTAATTCACCTGCCCTTGCTGGGGTGTTAAAAACCATGAAGACCAAAGGATGGAATGATTTGTCCTCTTGAAAAAGGTCAGAAACCAAGAAAATCTCTCAACCTCTTCCACTTCATCCTCCCTTCGCTTTCCTTCCCTTTGCTGCACCCTGTGCCTTTTCTTTCGCTTTCTTTTATTTTCTCAATGCAAACATGGAATTTTTCTTCTTGAACTGTGAAAATTCCCTCATTCTCCTCTCATGTTGGACCAAACACAAATCCTGCTGCCTCTCACAGCAGAGAAATTACAGCTCCTAAAACACAACTGCCAGAAGTGGATACGACTCCTAAACCCAAATACAATTCCTAAAATACAACTCCTAAAGTCAAATATGACTCCTGAAATACAACTACTATGCTCATGCATAAAAAATAAATAAAAGTAAATACAACTCCTGAAACAAAATTCCTAAAAGGAAATACAATTCCTAAAAGTAAATACAATTTGGTCAAATTCTGCCTGTCCAGAGGTGTGGCATGTTCACCTCAAACCTTTCAAAAAGCTTGGATTTAATGATCTTAAAGGGTTTTTTCCAACCTTAATCTTTCCACAATTCCATGGCTTATGAAAAGCAAATGGAAATTTTATCTACAGTGTTTTGACATAATAACACTAGCTATAACATTAAAATAATAATATTATTATTAAAATAACAACAATAACAATAATAATAAGAAGAAGTTGTACCAATGCAAAAACATATCAAGGAGATGCAACATTGCAAGCTTCTTCCAATGGCCAAAGGGATTTTCAGAACAGTAAACTCTTTGATTATTAAAAATGTATTTAGACTATTGAAAAATCTTTAAAACCATAGGAAATTATTTCCTTTAAAGCAAGCATCCATTTTAAAAAAAAAGGAAACATTTCTCGGAAACAAATCAACAGCTGTGAGTTATTAAACATCTTTATTATGGAACATGTGCTGGGTAAGCAGTGAAGGAAGCCATGGAATTAACCAAACTCTCCCTTCAGACTCTCTGGGTGTATAAAGGAATAAAAAAGGAGTTTTTCCCTTTATCCTGGGCTGTAAATCTGCTCACAGGAGCCCCCCAAATGGACCCAGCTCGTTATTCACTCCCCTTACATTTGCCTATTAGGGAAGGACTCTCAAGCATTAAATATTATTCTAAAAGTGGAGGGGAGAATCTTTTGATTGAAGCTGGAGCAGGAATTATTGGTATTCAGTAAAGGAGGTTTTACAACAATGCCTTGACAAAGCCTTGACACAAAAAGTGCTTCCACCTGCTGTCAATCTCTCACTCTGCTGACAGTTCAAGTGCACATCCTTTCAGGGAGAACTTCAATCAACAGCAGCGCTCAAAACACAGAGCACAATGTCACTGCTCCAGCAACGCAAGGGAAAATAAATGTGTGAAGAGGCAAGCCAAGGCAGAGAGGCTCTGACAGCCCCAGCCCAGCTCTGGAGGGAGCAGCACCACCCCAGGAGTGGCCATAGCCTCACTGTGGGGCTCCCAAAATCTGCTTTTCCTTGAGAAAACACTCCAGTCCTCCACAGAAATAAAAACGGGAGGAAGGAGAGGGATGTGGAAAGACTTCCCCTTCTCACTGATGGTGACTCACAAAGGGAACAGGGATGGATTTTAGGGTGAAGGCAGAGATCCCTCCACATCTCCTCAGAGAACTGGGATTGTCCAGCCTGGAGAAAAGAAGCTCCAGGGTGACCCAACTGTGCCCTTGCAGTGCCTGCAGGAGCCAAAACCAGATATGGAGCGAGACAATTCCCAAGGGATGGAGGGACAGGAAAGGGGAACGGCTTCAAACTGCCAGAGGGCAGGGTTGGATGGGATATTGGGCAGGAATTGTTCGCTGGGAGGGTGGGCAGGGCGTGGATCCCTGGAATGTCCAAGGCCAGCTTGGACAGGAAGCCATTCCCTGTGTCCTGTCCCTTGTCCCAGTCCTTCTCCAGCTCTCCTGGAGCCCCTTTAGGCTCTGCAAGAGGCTCTGAGCTGTCCCTGGATCCTTCCCTTCTCCAGGTGAACATTCCCAGCTCTCTCCAGCCCCTGGAGCAGCTCTGGGGCCTCTCTGGAATTGCTCCACATCCATGCCAAGTCTGGTTGGGAAGGCAGAAGATGAGAAAGACAAAACCAGTGGTGCCCATTTAGGTTGGAAAAGCCCTCCCAGACCAACGAGTCCAAGCCCAGAAATCCCAAAGCTGGAGCCAGAGGAGTGCTGGGATGCAGGGAATGCCTGCATGTGCTGCATCCGTTTTCTCTGGAAATGGCTTCACTTAAAAACTTCCACAAATTGCAATTAACAGATGTGCAGGTCACACATGTTATCAAGCAGCTTCCATGGATTCATGCACTGGACATGTCTTGGGAGGATAAAACAAAAAGACTGTGGACATGGGGAAGGGAATAAAACCAGACTGGGGAAAAAAAAATATGGAAGCTTCAGGTTTTGTCTACAAAATCCATCCATGGAGCTGCAGCTTTTGTCTGGCACTCTCCCCCTTCAGCACCCCCAGGATCTGGGTAATCCTAAAGTGTTCAGGGGATTACAAGGGCTCGGCACAAAGGTGCCCCAGCCCCCTAAAAAGGGTCTGCTGCCCCCTCAGACACAGCGTGGGGAGGCTCAAAGGAGCCACTGAGCAATTCCAGGGAAAACAAAAGGCTTCTGCTGCCTCCTTCCAACAACTCCACCGTGCCAAAAATCAGCACCAGAGCCGAGGAGCTGCCAGGGCTGGTTCAGCCTCAGTGCTCACCTTCTGCTCCCAGAGCAGCAGCAAAGGGTGAAGCTTCCCTTCTCTGAAGCTCCTTTGTTCCCCTCCTTCCTGAGCCCCTGCTCTGCAGCGGGCACGGGAAGCAGGAAATCAAAACTAGGAAAAGTGAAATATCCATGTCAGGGAGCCAGGATCACAAGCAGGAAACAGGAAATAAAATAAGTAGGAAAAGTGAAATATCCATGTCAGGGAGTCAGGCTTCCAGGCTGACTGATCAGAGACAAAATGACCCCAAGGGGAATGAAAAAATCCAGATATGGAGACACAAAAAGGTGGGGCTGGAGCAGCAGCATTAGGGGTAAGAGGAAAATTGGAGAATGCCTGTGCAATGGCAAGGGGAGGATGAGGGAGAGAAAACCAAGGTGTGATGGATTAAATCCACACCAAGATCAGGAAAAGAAGGAATGAGCAGCTGAGGGAACACTGGAAGCCCATCCCAGATTATCAAACCATCCTCATCAGGGAAATGGGGATACTGTGAGCAACTTCCCACTCTCTGCTCCAGATGGGAGAGGAGATGAAAGATTCTCCCTCTGAACTGAGGTGAAAAGCACTCAAACTCCACAAGGAACTGCCAGGTACATAATGAGCAGATTTGAAGCTGCTCAGAGGAAACAGCATCAGAGAGGGATGTTCATCACCCTGGGCAGGCCACACAAATTAAGAGGAAAGGAGAGCTGTGAATTACAATGAACAGAGACTAAATAGCTGCCTGTGTTGGATTAAAGGATTTAAATTGTCAGCTTGATGTATAATGAATGTGAAAAGCCAGCACTTAATTAAATGGCACATGATAGAATAACTTTGTTATGCTTTAAACTGCTTAAGTTATCAAAGTACTCCTTATATTTGGCAATTGTTTTGCAGTATCTCCCTCCCTGGTGAGATCCACTGAGACATTGGTCATTACCCTCTGTTCAGCTGTGGGGAAAGATGGTTTTTTTTTGAACTTTTGAATTTTCTGTTGGTCTGTAATTTGAGTTTTCAATCATGGCCAGTGAATTTTCAGCAGCTGAAGGCTGCAGAGCCCCAAGGATGAGCTACCAGGGGCTTTGAGGCTCCCACTGTCAACACCTCAAGACCAAACCCAGGAGATCTGAGGGTTCTTCTGACAGCACAGCCTCACCACCCCAAAAACGACCCCAATTAACCCTGCCCTGGGGCTGCTCAGGTGTGGAAGGGGTGAGAGACCAGCCTGTGGCCAGATCTGGCTTGTGCCAAGGGAAAAACTTCATCCTCCTTGAGCAGAGCACAGAAAATCTGTTCTGCCTCTGCATTTTGGTGGCAGGAACCAACTCAACCCTCCAACGAAACCCACGGAGCAAGCAAAGAGAGAGGGGGCTGGAAAACCAAGGGAGTCCCTCTGGACAGAATAAGGACAGCCAGGATGGGAATCACACACTCAGAGACAAAGCATCCCCAGAGGGCTCCGGAGTCACCTCCTGAAGGCACCCAGAGAGCAGAAGGGCTTCAAGGGCTGATTAAAGAAATAATTTAATAAATCAAGGTGATTAAAAGCACTTCTCCATCCTGATGGGAAGAAATGCTGACAGGAAGGGATGTGACCACACAGACTTCCAGCAAATTCTTTTGTTTCCTCATCCCACTGAATTTACCCCATCCTTTCCCACAGATTTGAGTAAAGAATCCTGGAATGGTTTGGGGTGGGAGAGACCCCAAATCCCATCCAGTGGCAGCCCTGCCATGACAGGGACACCTCCCACTGTCCCAGGCTGCTGCAACCTGGACTTGGGCACTGCCAGGGATCCAGGGGCAACCAGAGCTGCTCTGGGAATTCCAGCCCAGCCAGGAATTCCTTCCAAATATCCAATTAAATCTCCACTTTTCCACTCTGAAGCCATTCCCTGTGTGCTGTCCCTCCATCCCTTGTCCCAAGTCCCTCTCCAGCTCTCCCTGGAGCCCTCTCCTCTCCAGGCTGGACCATCCCAGCTCCCACCTTTCCCTCACAGCAGTCCCATCCCTCCCAGACCCCTGAACCTCCAGAGCTTGTGTTGGCCACTCCCAGGGAAGGTTTCCCTCATCCCAGAGCCCCTGAGCACAGGGGATGGCTTGGAGGAGCAGGAGGGAGGAAGGACCCTCCGTTCACACGGATCGTGGAGCTGCCCCAGCACCCCAATGAACACCCAACCCCAGATTTTCCACCCCCACAGTCAAAACCAGAGATAAAAAGCAATCAATTACTCACAGCCACCGCTATCCTTCCGAGAACGTGTTCTGGAATTTTTCTATAAACATCCAGAGACCCCCCTGCAGGGACAAACAGCACGTGCTCAGGTGGTGCCAGATGAAACAGTGCCCCAGATTTGAAGCCCCAAGGGTTTTCTAGGCCTTGGTTATTAATAAAAACACCATCAGTGATAGAGCAGTAACTGTGGCAGAAATAACTGACCTTAAAAACCTCCCAAACTCTGCATCAACACACAAAACAGCACTCAGGCAGCTTCTTACCACATCCCTCATTTCTGATTGTAGCAGCGACACTCAGAAAACAGCAGTGACAAAATGTTAGAAAACCTTCCCGTCATAAATACCAACATTAAAGAACTCCGAAGCGTGTGGAAAAATATCTTGGGGATAACAAAATCATTCCAAAAAGCAGATTTCAAGGTCCAAAGTATCCCAACTCTTGTCCCCAAAAGCTGGTGCTACCATTCTGTGGTATCCAATACTTATATTAATGATTAAACAGATATAAATATCCAATTAAATGGATATAAATAGCCACTGAATTGGATATAAATATCCAATTAAAAGGATATAAATAGCCATTGAAATGGATGTAAATGTCCATTTTATATGCATGATTAAAGCCATCTCCTCCTGACATCACACCAGGGAGGGTTTGGCCGTGTCCACAGTGATGCCTGAAATAAAATTCCTGGAGTTCCTGGGGAAGCAGTTGAAGTTTTCCCAGTTAATCCAGAATGGGAAAGGACCTGGCACAGCCCTGTCAGCACCCCCATTCATGGGGACATGGGATTCCCTCTAAATCCCTACAGACATTCCCAAGGGACTGGGAAACCGCCCTTCTGTTCTGCAAAAAAACCTCCTGATCAAACCAGAGTCCAAAATGTCCCTGGGCTGAAATACAAATTCTTAAGGCAAGAAAAGAAATTTGAAATTGAGAATTAAAAATCTGGCAAACTGCTGCACCAGGGCACTGTCCCTGCTTTTCCTCAGGAACATCCCAAATTCAGACACCAGCACAGGTCCCAAACTGCTGCACCAGGGCACTGTCCCTGCTTTTCCTCAGGAATATCCCGAATTCCCCAGCCAAGGGCTGGCACACCCCTGTAATTCCAGGCTGTGGGGTCAGGGATGGTTTTGGGATGAGGATTCATGTGGGGAGGAACAAGAGGGACTCCAAAAGGAACTCGGCAGCGAGCTGGGAAACAGCTGGGCTGGAAAATAACTCCTTGCCTGGTAATTAAGAGACCATTTCCACTGCAAACACCCAGGACATTGGGTTAATAGATTTCTTGAAAGGAAAAGCTGTTTTGGCTATCAAAACACTACAAGTGAGGAACAGCTGTTTTGTCAGCGAGGACAGATTGCACGGGAGGCTCAAATATCAAACCACAAATTAAGGCTGCCTTTATTCCTCTTCTATTTACATTTGCCATAAAAGTAAGTGAAGTTCCACGCAGAGAAAATGCAGAATGTCCCCCAGTCCCAATTCCAACCTGCTCTGGTTTTTTAACTACCTGCAATATTATTAATACTCCACATTTTCGAGTCTTACTGTTGCATTTCATTCTAAAAAAAAAAAATTTAATTATGTAGCAATCAAAAGCAAACTGGATCCACTACTCACCATCCATGAACTCTGTGCACAATGAAATCCTGTTTTCTACAAAAAAAGCACCATAAAATCCTATGATATACGAGGAGTCACACTGGAAAAAGAGAGAAAAAAGCCAAGAGGCTGTTTTAAAATCTGCTGTAAGAAGACTGAAGTAAAAATAATTCCAATGGTAAAATCTACATACCTTGTAAAGAATTTCTAACTCTGACATGATCTGCTTCTGGAGCTCCAGTGTTATATCCAAGGGTATGACCTGAAACACAGAAATACACAGAGTTCACGGAAAAGGGAAGTGAATAATGCAAAATAAAAAGCCTGAAGATCCATGGAGTAATGATCATTGTGGGGTAACAAGAAGGAGAGGAATAGGTGGAAAGAATATTTTAACAGGAAGGAAGTTTTCTCACCATCCCAACTTCCCAGCAGGACCAGAGCACCAGGGACTGCAGCCAAAGTGGGCTGCACCTCCTGGAATTCTAAATTCCCAGGATTTTTCAGGGCAGACCCTCTGAACAAGGCACTGGAAGTCAAACTGAACACAGAATTTCTTGCCACAGTTCTTTGAAGACTTGAAAACTCAATTATTAAGCCCTGCTTTACAAACCAAACTGGACCCAGACTTTGAGCCAGGCTCAGTCTGCCCCCACCCAACCCTTCCCTGTTAAATACTTTAAGCTAAAGGGAAGCAGAATTCAGTCAGTTTTCAGAATCAGCAGAATAAACACTCCAGGAATAGTGCTGACAGAACAGAACAGAACACGGGGAGCCCATTTCCAACCCAGCACCAAAATCTGTCTCCAGGAAAAACCAATAACCTGCCTCTTCCCAGAGCTGCTCCGGGGTTATTTATAAAAGCTGTCACTAAACTAAATTGTAAGTGGAGTACAGGGCTGCCAAGAAACATTTAACACACTTGTCCAGATCAATAATCATTTGCCAACAATATTCACTTACATTTTTTCCAGTGTGAAAACCTCGGAAATTCATCTGCTGGGATCCCACCAGTGGTGTTCTTTGAATTCCACCAAATTCCATCTTGTCGGTGGTGTCAAATCAAACTTTTATCTCACTCACTTCTAATCCCAGTGAGGAATTTCTCTGACCCCAGGACCAAAAATAACCCTGACATCCCAAAGCCAGGCCTAGAATGAGGAAAGGTCTGGGGCTCATTTGCATTAACTCTAATTACAAACACCCCAATAACGAGGATAACCTGGGAAAGCAGATTTTTCCCATTTCCAGGTGGTCAGGACCCCAAGGGAAGGGCACAGACAGAGGAATTACAAGATTATTTCACCCCAAAATTAATTAGGGGAGATCAACCTCACTTCCTCTGCAGAATTATTTCACTGTTTTCTTCCAGCTGGAAATGTGTGGCTGGTGTGACTCCACCTCATGTCAAGGCTGGAGGAAATTTCTTTATTTAGAGCACAAAAAGAGAAAAAAAAATTATATCTCACCTTAACCTGCATTTATCATCTCCTTTTGTATGAAATTTCCAAGACTGTTTTGTAGAGGTAAAAAAAATTCCAGGGACTCATGAGGTGACAGTTTCCAGCGCTGGAACTGTGTTAAAGCAAAAAAAAAAAGAAACCACCCAAAAAATCTCCTCAGAGTCACTGCTGCTGAGGAGGAAGCTGGAAATGAAGATTTGGATGCAAATTCCTGGAATTCTGGAATGGTTTGGGTGGGGAAGGCCCTTGAAGGGATCCCATTCCACCTTCCCCATCCCAGGCTGCTCCAAGCCCTGGCCAGCCTGGCTTGGACACTCCAGGATGGGGGATCCAGAACCTCCCTGGCAACACTCAATAATTTTTTTTCTCCTAAATCAAGAAGTTTTCAGCACAATCATTATTCCCTGGGATCCCCTGAGTGTGCCCAGGGTGGGTCCAGGGTCACACCTGGGTGAAATGGTTGAGCTGGGGATGGATGTGGCACCAGAAGGACTTTTAAAAAATGAATTTAAATGACATGCAAATCCTCTGGGAAGTCCTCTGATCTTCCTAATGAAGTTTTTGCCCAAAATACAGTGATTTTGGAGCTCTCAGATCCAGGGATTAGGGTGAACTTTGGAGTTGAGCTGGGGATGGATGTTGGACCAGAAGAACTTTTTTAAATGACATTCAAGTCCTCTGGGAAGTGCATTGATCTTCCTGACCAAGCTGCATCCTCCTAATCCATTTTTGCCCAAAATTCAGACATTTGGAGCCCCACTGATGCCCAGGGTGGAGTCTGGAGAGAGGAATCCACCTGAGCCATCTCCTGTGCTCCCCCAGCCCACAGCAGGCTGAGCTGTCAGGTGAAGCCCAGCAGCTGAGTGACTGAATTATAATTTACTCCCTGCTCAATTTGAATTAGGGAGAGGCCATTAAAATATCCAGAATAAACACAGCAATTCATCACGGGCTGTCACAGGTGCCTCCCTCCATTTGCTGCCTCCACTAAAGGGAAGCAGAGCAAAAATCACAGGTCAAATTCAGATATTCTGCTTTCATTTAATTAAGATGTCATCCTTGTCTTCTACAGTATGCACAGCTCAAAGGAAATTTGGGGTATTGTGGGCAGGGGTAATAAATAATACAGATAATAATGATAATCAAATGCTCCACTGAAATTCCAGCTAACAGCAGTGGAGAATGGCAAAAAGCAGTGCACTCTCATGGTTTTCACTGGGATTTTCCTCTTAAAAAAGGAAAAAGTTACTTGGAAAAAGGGATTAAGTCCTCTGGAGATGAAGGTTATGCAAAACCTGAAATTTGGTGCATTACTGAGGGATTATGTTCTGGATTATTAGCATTGGGTTGATTATTTACCAGCTGGAAGTGCTTCAGTCAACAGGTTTGTGGTTATCTTGTGCAATTAAATCTGTATTTTATCATTTTAAAAAGCCCCAAAATGACATTTTGGGGCTTACTTTTGTGCAGATGAACTAATAATTAATATAATTATTAATTAATAGAATATATAATTAATAATTTCATTAGTAATACAATTAATAATTTAATTTACAAGCATAATTTAATTCACAAATTGCATCCAAGATCTGCCCCACTGTTGCTATTATTTTATCCCAGTTTTAAGTGAATTTCAGAGAAAATTGGGATTTTTCCTGACCACAAAATTCTACAAATTCCAGATTTAATCAAGGAGCCCAACTGCCCTTGGAAACATCCACGGAGGTATCAAAATCTGGGATTTTCATGCAATTCCCTGGGGGAAAATCCTGAATTTTGGGAATGACTAAATTTACAGTAAATAAATAAATTAATAAATAAATAGATACATTTCCTGTAATAAATTAATTCATGCAATAAATCAAATTGAGAGCCAAAAATCAGAAGGAAGGGAAGGAAAGCAAGGGCAAGAAAAACTGGGAAAAAAATAAAATACCTGGAATTTCTTACCTTCACTGCCAGGATTTTTCCACTACGGACATGGTAAGCCCTGGGTGAGGAAAAAATTCAGTAATTTGAGATTATATAAAATTATATATATATTATTAGCCTCTGCGAGGATGTGCAATATAAACACACTCATTTCACAGAAAAATGAATTTCACCTCATGGATTTTCTGTAAATTCAATTTTATCCAGAATTTCTAAAGGAAAACCAGGGATCAAAAATATATTTACAAGGGAACCATTTGTCAGGGTCTGTATCTTTATTTTTCATATAAAATACACACATTTCAGGCTTTGATACAGCAGAAAAATAAACTATAAATGGGAATTTAACAGAATCATTTAGTCTGGAAAAGACTTCCCAAATTAAATCCAACCTTAAATCTTTGAGGCCAACCTCGAATTTATTTATTTTCCCATTTTCTTTCAATGGAATTAATTGAGATTATCACCGTTATTCAGAACTTTCATGGAAAATCAGGATTATCTCAGTCCCATGGGTATTTTCAGAGACAAGCAGCTTCACCAAATAAATTGAATTAAAACAGATTATGGCCAATTCTTTCTCAGAACTGAAGGAAAATCTCAGCAAAATTCGATTTCTGCATTTATTTGATGATCAGAGGGTGCATATAAAGACAGAAAGAATTATTGCTGATGTTCCCATACACCCAAAATAATTTTCCAGGGTGTCTCAACAGCAGTTTGTCTTAATTTCTGAGGAGAAACACCCATAATTGGCTATTTAACAATGACTTGAATATTTCTAACCATGAAAACGTGAGAAAATAAAGGAAGGTAAAAAAACCCAAAAAACCCTCAAAATCCAATGTAATTTTGCATAAAAACAAAACCATTAAAGGTTTTCCTCTTCACTGGTTTTACTGCCTCACTCTGATTTATGGCAGCATTGGCAGAGACGTGGCACTAACTTTAAAGAATTCTAATATTTTACCTCTCCATACCTCCAGCAATTATTAGTGAAGAAGAAAAGCTTTAATAGTTGGGGTTTTTGTGTCTAAAATCATCCTCAGACAGGGCAAAAATGTCATTTAATCTTATTTATAACCCTGAGCGCTCCCCTAATTTCTGGTAATGGCTTGGAAATTCTTAAAAACTTCACCTTAATGTAATAACTCCTGGGTGAACATTTATGCAGTGGAGTGGCACCAGCTTTTAGGGGAGAAAAAACAGAGTTTAGCAAGGCAGAGGGGAAAAAAATCAGTGTAGAAAATGAGATTATCCATGGGAACTTGGATAGAACAGGAGCTGAATCCATGAATCCACAAATCAAGGAGTCCAGGAGCTTGGGGGATGACCCAACACTGGGAAAACATCCTGGATTTAAAATGATTTCCCAGATTTGAGGGGAGGAAAAAAAGGATTTAGCAAGGCAGAGAGGAAAAATTAGTGTAGAAAATGAGATTATCCATGGGAATTTGGATAGAACAGGAGCTGAATCCAACAGTGGGGAAACACCCTGGGTTTAGGATGAGCAGGAATAAGGGACGGAGAGGTTGGGAAGGGATGCTCCACATCTGCTGGGTTAATTGGGACCCCAGTGGACAGCTTAATTAGCTGCTCAGGAAAGCTGATCCTTTTTCCATGGGACAGATCTCCCGTTCGGGAGCGGGTGAAAGGGAGGAGCTGATGATTTAATTATGATGCACGCTAATTCATCCGTGGAAGCTGGGGCTCAGGTTCCAGCAGAGGGCAGGTACCTGGTTTGGTTTACAGAGCACTGACAGCACCAAGTGAACATTTAATTATGGCTGGGAATTGGATCACAAAGAGCAGGGAGCCCTGGGCTGGGCCTGGGGGATGCCAGGAGGGCAGGAATTTGTTTACTCCAGGCTCATCCAGCATCTCAGTTGTCCTGGCCTTCCCCTGCACAATAACTGTAAAGTGATTAATGGAGCTGGAATGGGAGCTTTGGTTACACCAAAAGACAACCCTACACCTCTGTGGTGTTTTAATTAACAGCCAACTCTTCAAATTAGGCTGGAGCTGCTGCAGTAATTACCCCTTCTGAGGGAAAAAGGATTTTCTGGGATGTTCTGTGGGGCTGGAAGGTGGAATTGATCAGTTTGGTTGCAGGCAGCACGGCAAAATCCCAAATTTAATACCTGTATGCAGGTTCTGAGGGATGAACCACAAAAATCCTGCAGGACAATGAGCACAGCATGAGGAAAACCAGACTTTTAGTCAATCCCTGGATGTCTACAAGGGGATTAAACCCAAATTCCCACTCAAAGTCTCATCTCCCAGGTTTTGGTGCCACCTCCAGAAGTGAAGCAGCCAAACCCATCATTGCAGAACCAGGCAGAGAAAAGCAGCAAAACCCCAAAGGTTCCTTTAGCAACTGGGCACATTCCAGGCAATGCACTTGAAATCTTTCAGGATGCAGGAAAATTCCTAAAAGCCAGCTAAAACCAGCTGTTCCACTCCTAAAAAACCCCAAATCCAGGGATGGGTTTGAGCATCCCTGCAGGGGATGCTCAATACCCAGCTGGGTTCTGGGGGATCTCCCTCACCAAGCACAGAACCCTGGAACAGTTTGGGTGGGAAGGGACCTTAAATCCCACCCCATTCCACCCTTTCCAAGGGCAGGGACAATTCCCACATTGCCAGGGACCATCTCCTGTGGGAAGCTCTCCCAGAGGCTGCTCTGACACCACCCCACGCTGTCCAAGGAAAGGACGGGGACTCCAACACTGCCTGCCTGGAAAATCCCCACTGGGGGACAGAGATTTCCATCCCTCCCTCCACAATCCCACCAGAACTCACCATTCCAAGCCCCTGCACCCATCCCAACAGCTCCCAGGCAAGGCTGGCACAGTTTTGTCAAACATTTCACTATAAAAACCCCAGAGATCTGAAGCCCTGAGGGGCCCCACACGAGCCACATCCTCCAGCAGAACTTTGCCTCCTCCACTCTCGCCCCTCAGGGGTGCTGTGGCCAAAATCTGGGTTATTTTGGGGAATAAATAAGAGAGGTGGTGTGGGAGCAAGCACTGTGCTTGAACAAAGCCCTGCAGCTAAGCCCAGCTCGTGATGGACTGCAGAGAGTGCATCCCTGGTGCCCCAGGAAATCAAAATCAATACCAGGGAAAACTGCAATGGGGCTCTGGGGGACCTGCCAGCTCCTCAGCATCCCCCCAACCCCAGACAGGAATTGTGGCTGTACAGGAAAGCAAATGAAAATCTGGGAGCATCACAAGCAGCTGGTTTGTGTCTAAAGGAAAAAAGGGGATCTTTTGAAAGGAAATCCACATTACCTGATCTGTTCTTCCTGAGGCCCAGAAAACTAAGGAGGAATGTCAGTGCTCCTCATGGAATAAACCACTGCCCACCATAATATTTAATGCTAAAAACTTTCTACACCAAATGTGATGAATTTCTACTCAACACAGAAGGAAAACAAACCAAACTTGAGAGAAAATGCAGCAGATTCTTAATATTAACAGCTAATAAATTCCTAATAAATAGCTTAGATGGCAAACAAAAGACTTCTCTCTCTTTCAATTTGCTCCAACCAACAATTTTCCCTATTCCCTGTGAGGAATTTTCCCTAAAGCCCAGAGGGAGCTGCAGGATGCTGTGGTTGTGGGATAATTCCTTCCAGGACAAGCAAAGAACCAACTACAGGTTGCAACCTGCAGGCAACCTCAAGGGAAACATCAATTCTTCCTAATTTTTTAATTGCAAACCCCTTGCCCACGTGTGAGTGACACAACAATGGTCACATCACGAGCAGGGGCTCAGTTTGCAAAGATCCCTGAGCTTTTTCCAGCAGCTTTTCTCATCAAATGTAGCAACTTCTCACTAGAAACTGAGTTTAGTCTTATGTTAATCTCAAAATAAATGTAATCTCTACCTAGAAGCCAAAATTCATTGCATTTATTTTGTCACAAGGATGGCACTGAAGGAGCCTGGAGCAGCACGGGATCTGCTTCCTCTGGCCACCAGGATAAATCCCTTCATTTTTCCCCCACAATAACCAGGGAAACAATTTCTAATCAATAAGATATTCCTTGGCAAGACTGAAGGATTCAAGGGAAAGCCATGACCTGTCTGCTATGCCAATGAGTCAGTCAGAAATATCACCAACATCAGCAAATATGACAAAATGACAAAGTGCCAGGGAGGCAGCAGTGATGGGGCTGCAGCAGCCAGGGATGCTCCAGCCCAGGGACACCTCAGGCTGGTGCCACGAGGGACGCAGGGACAAGACACAGGGAATGGCTTCCCACTGCCACAGGGATGGGATACTGGGGAGAAATTCCTCCCCAGGATGGAGATCCCTGTTTCTCCCAGCCTGTCCCAGTGCTGCAGCACTGGAGCTGCTCCTTTCCTGCCACCTGAAATTCCCAGGCCAGAGTAAAATATTTGTGGTTACAAGTGAATATTTTGGTTCCTTTCTCCACCTTGTTTCCTTCACACCTCAGGATGAAATCATCACCCACGTTTGTTAAAAACAGCAAGGCATCATTTCCCTCCAAAGGCTGGGAAATCCTGTCCCATTCCCCCAGGGTTTCCTCTCAGCACTGAGGAGCTGCAGAGGCACCTCTGCACACCCACACCCCAAAGCCCTCTGGGGCCATGGCAGAGCCTTCCCAAACAGAAATAAAAGCTTGAAGCTTCTCATGTGGGCTCAGCAGAGGCCAGGACAGGCTGTGCCTGCAGCAAGCAGCACCTCCAGACCTGAGGGCACAGGAGGAGCCAAACTGGGCAATCATGAGAAACAGCCAAGAGCAAAAAGCTGTGCCAGAGCCAGGCAAAAGGAGCTCAGCCCCAGCTGCAAGCTCCACACAGCAAACCTCCCAACATTTGCTCATTTTTCCCCCTTTTTTTTGGCCTGGTGCTGCCCCTGCCTGTGGTGCTGGTGGTCAGGCTGTGGCAGGGCAGTGACAGCAGTGTCACGTACTCCCACGGCCATCGAAAGGAAGAAATTCAAATTGCTCCTAGGAAATAACCACTTTGCCAGTTGCTGCCTCCTGCAATAGCAAACACATTAGCCTGACTCTGTGGCTGTTAAATCAG